CTTTCCAACAGCTTCTATTTTCATTCCCAGCTTCAGTACTATACATAACATATAGTAAACCAACATTAAACATTTGATAAATTAGCAATGATGAAACATGTTCCTCCAACATTTTTAAAATCCAACATCATTTAAGCCTTCTCTAAACTAACTTTTCTGTAAGTATTGCTTTGGCTTATTCCTTTCCTGTTACTTTATCAGACAAATGACCTTATATGTGATTTCAGAAGAAAAATTAAACACGTAAGAACAGATTCTCCAACTACATCTTATGAAATGGTGGTTTATAAGCCAAAGTGCAGGAGGAACCAGTATAATGTCCATGTGCATTCTATAAATCCCCATATCACTCCTCATCTTTAAGGTCCTGGTTTTTAAAAAAGATTTATTTACTTGTACTTGAAAGGTAGATTTATGGAGAGAAGGAGAGAGAAAGAGAGGGTCTTCCCATACACTGGTTTACTCCTCAAATGGCTACAAATGGCCAGAGCTCAGCCAACCCAAAGCCAAGCGCCAGGAGCCTCTTCTGGGTCTTTCACATGGATGCAGCATCCTGAGAACACAAGCCATCCTCTTCTGCTTTCCCAGGCCATAAACAGAGCTGGATCAGAAGTGGAACCATTAGGACATGAATGGGCACCCAAATGGAATCCTGGCGTATGCAAGCATATAAAAGTAAAAAGCTTTTGAAAACTTAATATATTAGTTTTTTATGAGTTGACTCCTTGATGACAGACTTGATATTTATTTTTATTTTTATCCACTGACAAAATGGAAATAAACCAGTTTTGCAGCACATCCTGTTAAGCTGCTGTTTGTGATGCTAGCATCTAGTGTTGGACTGTCAGTTTGAGTCCTAGCTGTTTCAGTTTTTTTTAAGACGTATTTATTTTTATTAGAAAGTCAGATTTACAGGGAAGAGAAGAGAGAGAAAAAGATCTTCTGTCCACTAGTTCACTCCCCAAGTAGCTGCAAAAACTGGAGGTGAGCCGATCTGAAGCCAGGAGCCAGAAGTCTCTTTCAGGTTTCCATTCAGGTGCAGGGTCCCAAGGCTTTGGACTGTACTCTACTGCCTTCCCATGCCACACAGAGGGAGCTAGAGGGAAGTGGAGCAGCAGGGACACAAACCAGTGCCCATATGGGATCCTGGCAGTTGCAAGGTGAGGATTTAGCCAGTAGGCTATCTATCACACAGGGCCCACTGCTCCACTTTCAATCCAGCTTTCTGCTGATGGGCCTGGGAATGCATTGCCTGATGGCCCAAATATTTGAGCCCTTAGTGCCCATTTGGCAGATCTGGATGGAGTTACTGGCTCCTGGCTTTGGTCTGGCCCAGATCTGGCTACTGAAGCCATTTGGGGAGTAAACTAACAAATGGAAGATATTTTTCTTTCTCTCTTTCTCCAGTTCAAATAAATCTTGAGAGAGAGAGAGAGAGAAAGAAAGAGGAACAGAGGAAGAAAGGAAGGAAGGAAGGAAGGAAGGAAGGAAAGAAGGAAGGAAGACAGGCAGGCTGGCATTAATTGCATAGTGAGGAAAGTTACTGCCTATGATGCCAGTATCCGATATGGGCACCACTTCATGTCCCAGCTGCTCCGTTTCCAATCCAACTCCCTGCTAACAGCCTAGAAAAACCAATAGAAAATGGCTCAAGAACTTGGGTCCCTGCTGCCCATGTGGGAGACAGGAAGGACCTCTAGGCCTCAGCCTGGCCCCATGGATGGAAGATCAACCTTTCTCCCTCTCTGTGTGTCTATGTATGTGTTTTCCCCTCTTTCTGTAACTCTTTCAAATAAACAAATGGCTTAAAATACTTATCTGTTAAGACAAGTTTTAAGAAGTTGGAAAAAGGATCCTGTATTTTTCTTCCTATACTCCCCTTTGGAAGTATGACTTCCATGAAGAGTTAAGATGCATTTATTTTTGAAGAGTGAGACAGGGTAATGGTAGTATCTAAGTTGAGAAGTGGTGCCAGTTTTCTGAAAATATTTCCAAATCAAAGTCGATTTCTCTTAGGAGAAAACTGAGAGGCATTAAGTAGTCTGTAATTTTTAAAATGCATTAAATGGAAAGGATGTAATAATCATGGCAAAAAAAATGCAGTAAAATCTGCTATAAAGATGATTCAGAGTTATTAAACAATTGTCATGTTTGCCAGTGGTATGCTTCTTGGGATTCCTTTCAGCAATTAAGGAAAAACATTAATTCTTCTAAGCTGCAGGGCACCATTTGGTGCCTTAGCACAATGTTCAATAAAGCAATACTCTTGCTAAGTGACGCCTAACTAACTGCTGGGACTCAGATAGATGTGAGTATGTTTGTGAGACCAAGGATTGGCAGGGTGCTTAGCTTTGACTTCTCTTCTACAGTGTGTACTTTTTGTCTACTGGAAGGGCAGAAAGTGATTCAGGGATACAGAGGAGATGGAGAAATAAGACAGAGGGAGAGGTAGTGACAAAAATTTCCATCTGCTGGTTCACAATACAAAAGGTTCACATCAAGCAGGTCTAGGTCGGGTTGCAACCAAGAGCCAGGCATCCAACTGGGGTCCCCCAGGAGGGTGGTGGGAGCCCAAGCATTTCAGCCAGCAATGGATGGATTCTGAGACAAAGTCATTCTAGATCGGGGCTAGGGTGTTGTAAATAAAGCTGCAATCTACAGTGCCAGCATCCCCACTGCTCCACATTGGATCAGATCCCCAATAATGCACCCGGGGGGAGGGGGGGAGCAGTGGAAGAGGGTCTAAGTGCTTAGGCTCCTGAACCCATGTGTGAGATTCCTGGATCTTGGCTTTGGAATAACCCAGCTTTGGCTGATGTGGCCATTTATTTATTTGTGTGTGTGTGTTTTAAAGATTTGTTTATTGTAAAGTCAGATATAAAGAGAGGAGGAGAGACAGAGAGGAAGATCTTCTGTCCGATGATTCACTCCCCAAGTGAGCGCAACCGCCAATGCTATGCCAGTCCGCAGCCAGGATCCAGGACCTTCTTCTGGGTATCCCACATGGGTGCAGGGTCTCAAAGCTTTGGGCCGTCCTCAACTGCTTTCCCAGACCACAAGCAGGGAGCTGGATGGGAAGTGGAGCTGCCGGGATTAGAACCAGCACCCATATGGAATCCTGGTGCGTTCAAGGCGAGGACGTTAGCCACTAGGCCACGCCACCTGGCCCTGATGTGGCCATTTGTTGAATGAAGCAACAAATGGAAGATTTTCTCTCTCTCCTCTCTATAACTCTTTCAAGAAAATATTAAAACAGAAAAAATAATAACTATAGATTAATCAGGGGACCCAAAATCTAGTGACATATATCCTTATAATAGAGGGAGACAAAGTCAGAGAGGAGAAGGGAGAAGCAGAAATAGGAGCCAAGCAGGCAGCAAGATGCACCAGAGGCCATGGGATCTTGGAAGAAGCCAGGAGCAATCTTCCCCTTACGCCTTCAGCAACGGGAGCATGGCCCTGTAGACACCCAACTCCAGAGTTCTTTGGGAATAACTGCCTGCTTTAAACCATCCCGTGTGGCTCATTTGTTCAAGTATCCCTAGCAAACTAACATACACATAGCACTCTGAACTGTGTCAACATTTTTATGTATTTTTATTTCCTTGAAAGAGATGTATGTGTGTAGGAGAGAGATGAGAGATCCTTCATTCGCTGAACTGAGCCAGGTCAAATCCACGAGGCTGCCAAAGTAAGTGGTTCCCAGAGTGCACACCAGGAGGAGTCCAGAAGCAGCAGGGGAAGCAAGACTGAAGCCTGGCACTCCAACAGAGGAGGTGGGCATCCCAAAAGGCCCACTAAGCACTGACCCAACAGCTGCCCCATTCTGAGCTTCTCCTTATAAACTTGTCCCTACCCTTCACCCTACATCCCTGTCTCTAGCTTTAAGCTGTTGGCTGCCTTTCAGTTCCTGTATTGCCTTTAGGTCTCCACACATGCTGGTCCAGGTCACCAATCTTCAGCCATGTTTTCAAGATGCTGCAAAAGCGACCCTCCAGCCCTGCTCACCAGTGCACAAGCAGCCCTTCTCAGCAGCATTATAGCCGTGTGATCAGTAGCTCTTCCTCTTCCTGTGTCCTGGGATCACAGCAATCCTGTTCCTATGAGTGACAAGCCCTTGTAAGCCGCGGCAGCTTCTCTTAGTTTCTGCGAGAGATGCGGGCTACGTGGGGTGACGGTATCCTTTACAACACAAAGCAGACTACTTTTGACAGTGAAACAGGATGCAAGGAAGGGCTCTGAGCATTCAGCACACAGGCTATGTTGACCTAAGAGCTAGTGTGAAGGCAATAGGATTGCTACATGGGTGGGCAGCAACACTTCAGAGAATAGAAAAAGGACCGTACGAAACTCCCCAACTGCTTTCTCTGACAATATGTGTTTATTCACTTGTCATCTGCGCACCCCATCCCCGTAATGGAGACTTGGAAGCCGGGGCCTTCGCCTGTCCACCGCTACATCCCAGACCAGCCACACTGCCTGACACAAGGCAGGTGCCCAATCAACACGTGAACGCACGGGGCTCCATCGCTGGAAAGGACACCCTAGGCGAATGACGGATGAAAAGTCCGCAGGAAATCAAGACAACCACGACGGAACCTGCCCTCCCAGTCAAGACCATACGGTGGGTCAGCAGGCCCTAACCGCCGCCAAGGTGCGGGGCTGAGGAAGACGCTGCCGTGGAGGCCCGGGCGGCTCGCCCCTCGCCCACCGTGCGCCCAGGACTCCCTCTCCGCGCCCGCTAACCCCCTCCCGGGCTCACCTGCCTCGCGCGGCCCAGCGGCCCCCGGCACCTGAGGCCCGGGACCCCCGCCCCGCAGGCCGCGCGGCCTCCTCGCGCCGCACAGCGCCCCCTCCGCGCCGGCCTCTGCGGCTGCGCGCTGGCCGGGCCGAGCCGAGGGGAGGGGGTCGCGCCGGGGGCCGGCGGAGCTGCGGCGGCGGCGAGGGAGCGAGCGAGCCCAGCGCCGCGGGCAGAGCCGGAGGCCGGGGACGACGCGGTCATGTCTCGCTACACGAGGCCCCCCAACACCTCCCTGTTCGTCAGGAACGTGGCGGACGCCACCAGGTGAGCGGCGGCGCCGGCGGCCGCAGGTGGGGCGCGGGAAGGGGCGGGTAACGGCCACGGCCGTGGGGGAGGCCCGGCGGCTCGGGCCTCGGGCGACGCGCACTCGCCCCCCGGGGAGGACTGACGGGCGTCGGGCCGGCTCCTCCGGGGCCTGGGCGGGACTGGCACCTCCGCCCTCGCACCGCGCGTCCGGGCGCTGCGCCCGGGGACCCGGGCCCCGCGGGGCTCCCAGGCCGCGCTCCCAGGCCCGGCGGGCGCCTGCCGCCGCAGCCCCTTTGTGGCCGGGTGTCGGACGAGGCTTGGCCGCGTGCGTGGCCGCTCCGAGACCGGGGAGAAGGCTCCCGAAGAGAATGCGCACCTTGGGCCTTCCCTCCGGTGCTGGCAGAATCGTAATTCTTGACACAATTATATTGGGGCTAACAACAAAACACAAAAACAAAACAAAACAAAAAAACTTTAGCGAGAGGCCTGTTTTTGTTGCCAGCGTTAACACCCTGTTTGTAACGGTTTGGGTGGACCTGGCCTTGATCCCTTCGCACGCTTCCGTGGGGGTTTCTGTCCACTCCTGAATCTGAATCTAAACAGGGATGCTCAGGAGGGATTTCTTTCTACTGCACTTTCTCGTGATGAGGAGCTGCAGCACGGCGGGCATGAGCAGATTTCCTTGTCCAGGGCTAACCAGCCCCGCAGCATCCCCTGTTGAGTGTGCCCTGTGCTCTTAGCGCACACACGGCAGGAAACCAGAAACTCGAGTTTGCCACCCCCCCCAACCAGCAGCCCTGGCCACATGGCCAGCTGTAGTGATCATAACTGACCCTTGGGAATACAGGTTTTGTTGTGTGTTTGTTTACAAATACACATGTCACCACTGCAGACAATTAACATATCTTACCTAACCTCTGAAGATGACTTGTTGACATTTCCCTGAACTTGTTTAGCAACACAAACAAAAATCTATGATTTAGGGGTTTAAAAAAAAATGCCACCGTTTAGACTACATGAAAACTGAGTCAGCATCAGGTCTCTGCAGTCTGTTTCCCTGGTCCCCCGCCCCAGTCATGATGCTGATACTAGCCAGCAAGGGTGGTAGAGTGAAGCTGTGAGGGCGAGAGGCACGCTGGGCCCGTGCCCACTGCAACCGGTGCAGCCGCACACGCGGCTTCTGAAAGCCGTACAGCTGCCCTACTCATTAGGACTGCTTGGTGCCGCACCAGCTGGATTTTAAGAAGTCGGAAGTCCAGATTTTGTGTACATAAATTCATTTTCAAAATGTTAGTGTTTGTCAAAACGTGAAATCCCCATTTTTTTTTTTATAGATTTAAAGCTATGAAGTGTTGGCAATCTTGTAATTCCAAACGTTTTCTTAAAAATGTTTAAGTGTTGTGCAGGCAAAGCATAACTTTACCAGCAGGTACACCATAGAATTAATGGGACTGAAAATAACGTCTTCAGCACCTTTTTGGTACTACCACTAGGGGGCTCTCATAACTTAGGTGGTTAGTGATTTTTAAACTTTTATTTATTATTATTAGAAAAGCAGATTTACAGAGAGGAGAGACAGAAAGATCTACCATCTGCTGGTTCACTCCTCAAGTGTCTGTAATGGCCAGAGCTGAGCCAATCTGAAGTATCCCCACCAGATGCAGGGCTTTAATGTTTTGAGGCATCCTCTACCTTTTTCCCAGGCCACAAGCAGGGAGACGGAAGGGAAATGGGAGCTCCTTGAACACGAACCAGTGGTTATATGGGATCCTGGTGCATGCAAGGCAAGGATTTACTGAGTCGTTGCACTGGGCTGGTTAGTGATATTAATAAAATGGTTGTTAATATTTCTTGATTATTCACTCTGTGCTATTAGCTATCCTATAAGCTTTTCATATATGAACTTGGTAAATTTTCACAATAGCTCTATATTTTCTTTGTTAGCTCCATTAACAGATAGGAAACAGGCTTAGAGAGGTTGCCTAAGAATTCATGTCTGGTATGTTACTGAGAGTAGAGCCATCAGGTGTAACTTGTGTTAATCTAACAACCTTTTTGTAAAATGTGGTATACAGTGTTAGTTCCCTAGCAATATGTATGCCATCTAAATACATTTTAAATTAGTCTTAATGCTTAGTATGCTTATAAAGAAAATCAGTTGGACTAAATGTTAAATGCTATTATTATGTATGACTTGCAGGATGTAAAAATTAAGAAAAAAATCTAGAAAAATGAGACAAGAAAACTTTATTAGTAAAGGCTAGTACTTTTTTCCTGTTTTCAGAAAATTTGTTTTAAAGATTTATTTTATTTTTATTGGAAAGGCAGATATACAGAGAGGAAGAGAGACAGAGAAGAGGGTCTTCCATCCAAAGATTCATTCCCCAAGTGGCTGCAAAGGCTAGAGCTGAGCCAGTCTGAAGCCAGGAGCCAGGAACTCTTCTGGATCTCCCACGCAGGTGCAGGGTCCCAAGATTTGGGTTGTCCTCACTGCTTTCCCAGGCCACAAGCAGGGAGCTGGTTGGAAAGTGGGGCGGCCAGGACTAGAACCGGTGCCCATATGGAATCCCGGTGCACTTGAGGCTATGACCTTAACTGCTATACTATCGCGCTGGGTCCCAGAAATTTTTTAAGAAGATTGTTAGTTTTCACATGCAGCCAGACTTTATTTAAAGCATTTCTTTGAGTTGGCTATTTTACTATGTAGGATAAATCACAAGACATTAAAAAATATTGCACAAAATCTGGATGTGAATGAAATTGAGTGAAAGAATTAAGGAAAATTTTTACATAGTTTTTAAACTTTATTTCCTCTGGTGAAAAAAGAAATAGATCAGGAAAAATACCTGGACTGGTGGCTAAATCCTTACCCTGCAACCTCCAGGATCTCATTTGGGCAATCGTTTGTGTCCCAGCTGCTCTGCTTCCCATCCAGCTCCCTGCTTGTGGTCTGGGAAAGCAGTGGAAGATGGCCAAAGCCTTGGGACCCTACACCCATGTGGGAGGTCCACAAGAAGCTGCTGATTCCAGGCTTCAGACTGGTTCAGCTCTAGGCATTGCGGCCACTTTGGGAGTGAATCAGTGGGCAGAAGCTCCTACTGTCTCTCTAAATCTTTTTGATAAAAATAATTTTGTGTTCTTTTTAAACTTTTATTATTATTATCATTTTATGATACATTTCCATAGGCTCTGGGATTTTCCATACCCCTTCCCCCTACCGAGTTTCCCTATATTATTACTATAGTTTAGTTCTTCACACACAGTCACGTGTCCATCATTGTGGGCATGGACAATGGCAAAGAGTCCAGCATCCTATTGTCAAGATATAGTTAACAGTTTCATTGGGAGTCCATCTTTGATCTGGAAGTAGAGATGCATACTGCATTGTATCTTCACATCTGGATATAATAGTCTCCATTACACAGTTACTATACATCCCCTTAAATGAAAAGTCACAATACAAAATCAACAATAGCAAGAAAAATAGAAATTTACAATGCCATGAAGTTAAATAGCATGCTACTGGATATGATAGTTTCCATTACACAGTTACTGTACAACCCCTTAAATAAAGAGCCATAAAAACAAAATGAACAATAGGAAGAAAACAAATTAAAAACCCAGTGAAGTTAAATAACATGCTATTGAATGATTAGTGTGTTGCTGAAGAAATGAAAAAAATCAAGAACCTTCTTGAAGAAAATGATGCTACTGTATGATCTATGAGTCATTGAATTTAATGTGAAAGTGTTTTGAAAAGATGAAACTAAATTTAGAAAAATCAAAACCCATAGTTTCCGCTGATCTTTGTTGGTGAGATGTCTTCTGTAAACAACAAATAGATGGGTTTTTTTAAAGGTTTATTTTAAAATTTTTATTGGAAAGGCGGATATACAGAGAGGAGAGACAAAGAGGAAGATCTTCTGTCTGATGATTCACTCCCCAAGTGAGCGCAACAGCCGATGCTATGCTGGTCCGGAGTCTCCCACGCGGGTGCAGGGTCCCAAAGCTTTGGGCCGTCCTCAACTGCTTTCCTGGGCCACAAGCAGGGAGCTGGAAGGGAAGCGGGGCTGCTGGGATTAGAACCGGCGCCCATATGGGATCCCGGGCGTGCAAGGCGAGGGCCTTAACCACTGTGCCACCACGCCGGGTCCGGGTTTTGTTTTTCAAATGCAGTCTATTTATCTATGATGTTTGATTGATGATTTAAGCCATTTATATTCAGGGTTAATATGAATGAGTAGTAGTTTGGTCCTGTCATTTTAGCACTGGGTTGTTCATTGATTTAGTCCTCTGTTGTCATTTTACTGGGATGTTCTTCCCATTTGCCTTTTGTTTTGGTGAGTACTATTCCTCTTCTATGTCAGGAGAACATCTTGAAGTATCATTTGTAGGGCAGGTTTGGAAGAGGCAATTTTTTTAACTTTGCTTTACTGTGGAAGAATTTTATTTCATTTTCAAAGGCAAAGGAAAGCTTTGCTGGGTACATTATCCTGGGCCGACAATTTTTTTTTAAATTTTAGAATCTGGAATATGTTGCTCCATTGTCTTCTGGCTGTAGAGTTTCCTAGAGTTTCCTGTGAGAGATCTCCTGTGAGTTTAATTGGCATTCCTTTATATATCAGTTTATTTTTTTTCACGTGCACATTTCCCTTATGTTCGACAAAAGAGAGTTTGATTATCATGTGTTGTGGTGAAGATCACTTTTGATCGACCCGTTTGGGTGTACTATGTCCCTTCCTGAATGTTGTTTCCTCATTTTTTCTCTAGATTAAGGAAATTTTGCCTTATTATTTCATTGAATACACCTTTAATCCAAGCTTCTCTCTCTACACCTTCTGTGACTCCCATAACTCTTATGTTTGGCCTTTTAATAATGTCTTTCAGTTCTTGAATACTTTATTTAGCTTGGCTTAGCTCTGCGTCCAGTTTTCCGTTTGTTTCCTCTTGATGACAGGAAATATCTTCCAATTCTGAGATCCTTTCTTTTGCTTGTTTCATTCTATTTTGGAGACTCT